CCCCCCCAGCTGTGTCCCTGTCACTCTTCTCTCCAGGTCTTCTGTCTCTCTCTGTTGGCAATGACAGAGGAAATAGAGGCAGAGCAGTGAACCCCTAACCCGCCCCCACTTCCTTACTTTCCTGACTCTTCTAGACAGTATAGTGAAAAGACCACAGGTTTAGGGCCAAACACATGCTCTTTGACAAGCCGTTTAACTTCACTTGCTCTCAGTTTTTTCATTTGCCAAATGGGTGCAGTGATGCCTGCCTTCCTGAGTAACCACGAGCTTCAGTGCAGGAAAGTGCGCTTCTGAGTGTTGCAGTTATTGAGTCTGTGAGCAGGTGTCTAGAGCATGTCACAGACATAAGCAAACACTGTTTGTTGTCACCTGTGTCCTCCCTCCTTCCTCCTAGAGAAAGGGGTGGGGGTAGGGTGGAGAAAAATGGTCACCTACCAAGGCTCTATTTCAGCCCCAGAAATGTGGACTTGTAGTTATTCCCTTAAATATTGCTACACAGATGGACTACAGACTCCCTGGGGATGGGGCCTCGCATTTTGCTTGGCCCCAGAGTGTTCTCTGGTTACCTAGTAAGTGCTGGAAAAATATTTGTTAAGGAATAAAATATACCAGTTCTGCATCCTGCCTGCCCACTGACTTTCTTGGAAAATGAAATCTCCTAGAAGATGGTAACAGTTTCCTTTAACCCACAGGCCCTCAAATGGAACAGCTGCTAGTGATTGTTTAAATAAATTGTAAGAGCTTCTACTATCTTTTGGTCTTTTGTGGTTGCTGCCCCTTTATTGCTGTCAGAAGACTGGACTCATTGAACTGTCAGAGTTTGGGTTGAGAATTTTATTTTTGCTTAAATAAAATAAAAGCTTCCCATGTTTAGTTTTGTTTAACCTTTATTTTGTTTTTATTTTCTCTTCAGAAAAGAAAGACGTGACTCAGAGCCTGGAGAGCTACACGTCCAAATGTCCTGGGACAATGGAACTCATCACCCTCCCAGATGGCCTCAGCCTGCCACCTGTGCCCCTCACCAAACTGCCCATCGTCAGGTAGGACAGCTCTTGCCTGAGTCATGCTGGGACATAGTCCTTTGCTCTGATCGTGACTACACATCTTTTGTAGAGTTTCCATTTGTTGCTGGCTGTGTACGTGTCACTACTTCATCAGTTCTCATCGGCAGTCCTAGGAAGTGTAAGTGGGTGTTCCACAGTGAGAGGACCGGGCCAGTGACATTACACAACTGCTCATGGTTACCTGGCTGCCCAGTGGCAGAGCCAGACACAAACCCACATCTGCCTGTGTCCTGCCCGCTCTGCTGTGATCCAATGAACCTGGCCTTGTCTCTTCCGCTTACAAGCTTCCAGAAGTTTCCCATCCTCTTAGACTGTGTAGCCCTGTGCCACAGGAACAGGGGCGACTCCTCAGACATACCGCATACCTGGGTGCCTTTGCTCACACTTGCCCCCCTGGAATTCATCTCTGCTCTCCCCGCCTTTACTCGGCTTGTTCTTTGAGACTCATTCCACGCCCACTTTTTTTTTTTTTTAATCCCTCACCTGAGGATATGTTTTTCAACAATTCTAGAGGGAAACATTGATGTGAGAGAGAAACATCGATCAGTTGCCTCACACATGCACCCTTACCGAGGATTGAACCTGCAGCTTGGGCATGTGTCCTGACCAGGAATTGAACCCTTCAGTGCATGGGACAACACTCTAACCATTGAGCCACACCAGACAGGTCCACACCTACTTTGTAGGAAGCCTTTCCTGATATTCCCTCCTGCTGCCCACCCCCTAGAGTGTTCTCTGGTTTCCATAGCACCCACTGCCCACCTCTCACAGGCTTAGCTGCTCCGCACAGCCTGGGGTTACCTTTCCTGTGACTGTCTCTCTTTGAAAATTGTAAGGCTTTAGAAAGGGAGGCCCTCTGACCATGCAAAGTGGGCACTTAAAGAAGGGTTTATGAGTGAATATCATGAAGTGATTTCTGAATTTCTAAAAGATCTGTGTGAAGACTGAAAAGGAACAGTGGACACTTGGCATTTTGCTACTCCAAGAAGTACTGCAACCTTAGGACACCACCTGGTGAGATGCTGAGCATCATCGAGGTGCCCCTGACTTGGCCACTGTTCCCAGTCCCACCAGGCATTGCAGGAAGGGCTCGGCTCACTTACAGGCTGGGCATTACATTAACAAGTCACTTAACTGCCCTGGGCGTCAGTTTGCTTCTCAAGAAAGAATTAAGAAATAGAACCCATGGCCTTAGGTTATTGGGAGAGTTCAGTGATGCAGCATGTGAAAGTGTGAGGTACAGAGCTTCTTAATGACGGTGCTTTCTCTGTCCCTGCACTTCCACGAGGCAGAGCAGTTAGTTCTGCCAAACCAGGTGGTTCCGTTGCCAGAGGGCGGGGCTCCGTGCTCCTGAGAATAGGCCAGAAAGGGCTACTGTGCACAAAGGTGCTGGCAGGCTACCCTTGAGTTTTAGGATGTTCTGGTAGGCACTTGGAGTAAGTAGCTCCTCAGACAGCACTGGCCAGCTGCCCTATCTGAACGGCTGGGCCAAGGCCTGGAAGGTGCTCTAGCCCCTCGGTGCGAAGGCCGAGGGAGGTGGGGTGCTTCTCTTGAGCACGCTGCCTCCTCGTCGCTGGCAGACAGACAGGATTGGGCTGGGCCTTCCTGTGAGAAAGACTTCAGGGCTGCCCTGTGTTTGCTGTGCGCGTGGCGGGCAGGAGGGGGTTAGGCAGAGAGAAGAGGGGGCCTGCGCGGAGCAGCTGGCCTGCACAGGAAGCGTTCGCTCGAGTCCTCACCACAGTCTGAGGGCCTCACTGCGTTTTAGAGACGCGGGGCCTAAGTCCTGGGCGGCTGGCACTGGCCCACAGGCTTATAGCTAGTGAGGAGTGCAATTTGGTTTTCGGACGGGCCCTCTGACTGCTGGGTAGCCGCCTGGGCCCTGGGCCGGGCCCTGGGACAGGGCCGGGCTGCTGCGTGCAGCCTTCTGCTTTGTTCCCGCTGCGTTTGAGTGCTGTTCTTTCCTTCAGACGGCTGCTGTTTGACCTACTGTTGTTCTAACACATTTCTGTCTTGTGCTATTTCTGCTGAAACCAAGCTAACAAGGCAGTTGATGGATTTTTATTCCATTTGAAACTATAGGCATGTGAAACTGCTGAACCTCCCTGCCAGCCTCCGGCCACAGAAAATGAAAAGCTTGCTCGGTCAGAGCGTGTCCACCAAGAGCCCCTTCATCTACTCACCGATCATCGCCCACAGCCGCGGGGAGGAGCGGAACAAGAAGATTGGTAGGACCGTCCATCCTGGCTTTCGAGCAGCACCGTGCCCATCCATGTGCAGCGTGTCGTGCAGATTTAGCCTGAGCCTTGACGCATGTGCACGTATCTGCACAGAGTGGTCTCTCCTCTCAGCTAATCAGTTTGCCACCTCCATTGGGCAGTTGCCATGGATCTGATTTTCAAAATCTATTTCGTGAAAGGTGATGTTTGTGGGAATTGTAGAAACCAGAAGACCTCTGATGCTGAGACTTATGCAAACTGCAGAAGGGTGATAGTGGAGATGAGTGATTTTCCCAGGCCTGACTGACTTCTGAATCATCTCAGATGGAAGGCTGACTTCCGTTCAGGGTCGGTTGGGAGGTGGGACAAGCTCGGAGCCTCTGGTGCCTGGGGCTGTGTGGCTGCTGGGCCAGCACCGGGAAGCTAGCCCTGCTGCTCTGCTTTTTCCTCTCCTATCTTAAGAAATTGTTGAGGCTTCTTTTTATGAAAATAATACTCTGTTGCAGTGATTCTTATAACCACGTGATGCTGCAGGCATTCTGTTCCCTATTTGCATATGGAAAAATAAGCGGTGAACCTAAATCACCTGCTTGGGTCAGGCAGTAGGATGTGGCAGAGCTCAGGCTCCAGCCAGGTCAGTGACTCAGAACCCAGGGAATCTCCTTTACAACCTGGCTCTTCATCACAGTGAGCAGCACCTACTCAACTGGTCTGAGAATGAATTCAGTGGGTGAGGCAAGATTTTTTTCTGAGCTATAATAGACGCTTCAGCCAAAATTCATGTTATTGGTTGAGTACCCATGGGTAGGAAAATGTAATTTACATTCTGTGGCTTCTAATATCTTTCTGGCAATATACTCATGAGCTAGGACCTGCCTAGAGGTTTGAAAAATCATGCATCCTTACCCTAAAATTCCAGTCTCTGCAAATGAATCTTTGTGTATAATTCGGGGAGTTACCATCATGGTGCAGGGCATAAAGTACCAGAGAAGAAGCCCTGAGGGCAGTTTTTGAGACAGTTTTCCATGTGACTTGGAATAATTTATCAGTCGTTCTCTCTACCTGTTGCTAGTGTCGCCACCATTCAAGTGAAACTGTGCAAAGGTGACTGCAGCCCACATCCTGAGTGAGAGCGCAGTGGGTTGGGAAGAGGTTTATATAGGCTTCGTGCTGAGGTCACAGCTGCCCCAGAGGCAGTTCAGTGGCCTGGACAGGCTGTAGCTGTCAAATGCACTGGGGCTACAGCATGGCCCTGAAGCTGTCACTTCCCACCCCACCGCCTCGGACACTTGTTGTCCGAGGCGGTCACATCTCCCTGGGCTGCAGTTATGCCATCTAGAGTGGGGATGAGAGAACCTAACTTGGAGGGTACTTGTGAGGGTCAAGTGAGAGGATGTTCCCTAAATACCTGGCGGCCTTTGGATGAGGTTCCAAATAGCAGTTGCGTGTGCTGTGCTTGGGGTGCTTCGAGATATCAGGGTGCTTCCTGTCTAATAGGTGCCTGTAGTGTACTAGGAAGAGACCAGCTTGTCACCAAGAGCAACCAAAAGATGCTGTTAACTCAGGGTGACAACATGCACATTGGGAGCAGCACAGTGGGAGGGTCTGCTACAGACCAGTGACTAACGGCCATTGGCTGCTGTCCCTCCCAGTTTCCAGGACAGAATGTCGAGGAAGGGGCTCCTGTGTGCTGCGACACACGGAGGGCTGGAGGGCAGATTAGCTCCTCCTCTCAGAAAAAAGTCCTGTAAGCAGTAACTTATCTTAGGTTTACCTTTGGTGGACTAGGACCATATATGTATAAATGATTTCTCTCAGAACCCCAAAAAAATGCTTTTTAAAAAATTCTCACCCGAGGATATGTTTTTATTGATTTTAGAAAGAGAGGAAGGGGGCGGGGGGAGGAGAGAAACATCGATGTGAGAGAGAAATGTCAATTGGTTGCCTCCTGTATGTGCCCTGATGTCAAATCCACAACCTAGCTATGTGCCCTGACCAGAAATTGAGCCTGCAACCTTTTGGTGTACAGGACAGTGCCCCAACTAACTGAGCCACCTGGCCAGGGCAGAAAATGCTTTTTTAAAATGATGATGTTGGACCAGGACAGAGAAAACATGCAGTTCTTTAGCTACCAGGCATAGCAGTGTGTTAAAATGAATGGCATTTTCCTCTGCTGTGAGGAAGGGGCTAGCATAGGCTCAGAGATGTCGCTGAAGGGTGGTGTGAGCACCTGCTCTGGAGGGTGAGCCTCCCCTTGAGGTTCTTATAGCTGGAGGGCCCGGGAGGCTGGGTAAGGAGAGGTGGGGTGAGGAGGGAGGAGACCTGAGTTTTGGAGCCAGTAGGGTTAGAGTGGGGTAGGAGAGCTTGGCTTGGTCTCTGTGCACGGTGCCTGGGGCCAGTGTTTGGAAAAGGCAGTGTATTTAGGAAGGGTCTGTGAAAGCTGAGGAATTCTAATCACATATCCTAGCATCCACTCTAGAAAAAGCTTTTTAACCAGTGTCCATTCTAGATACCTCTGAGTTCAGACCCCTGAGTTCAGACCCCTGGGCTAAAATCGTGCCTATTGGTTCTGATTCCTAGGCATTTCTTATCCTGGTTGCTAAACCTCGAGTACCTGCCTGTAACAGTGGGGATGATAGTACCTCTCTCACCACGTCATTATGAAGAGCATGCGATAACCTACCTGCTTGAAAGTGATTCATATCCAGCTCACACACGTTAATTTAATCTGCTTTGCCTCATGGACTATCTTAAGGGGGGCGGAGGCGATGGAATGCCGATGGGTACTGTATTAGTTGTCTTTTACTTTGTATCAAATTACTGCAAAGTTGGTGGCTTGGAACAAGACAGATGAATGCTCTCACACTTTCTGTGGGTCAGGAATCCAGCGCATGTTGGCTGGGTCCTCTGCTCAGCGTCTCACAGCCTGAAATCCAGGTGTCAGCTGGGGCTGTGTTCCTGTCTTGGGGCTGGATTGAGGAAGATTAGTTTCCAAGCTCCCTGAGGCTGTTTGTCATTTGTTTCCATGTGGTCAGATAACTGACACCTCTGTTCTCTTGCTAACTGTCAGCCAGGACCCTCTCAGCTCCTCGAGGCCACTCTTGGGTCTTTGCCACGTGGCCTCCTCTATAGGCCCTCTCCTGCTTTGAATCCTTTCTTTCAGGAAGGGTATGGTATGGTCCCTTTTAAGAGCTCACCTGATTAGACCAGGCCCACCCAGGATACTCTCCCTTTTGATTAATTCAAAGCTGAATGATTGGAGACCTTAATCACATCTGCAGAATCCCTTTACCTTTGTTATGTAACAGAACCTCATCATATTCATATTAGGGAGAGAGGATCACATGGGCCATCTGCACCAAGATGGAGGGGTGTCTTGGGGATCATCTCAGAATTCTGTCTCCCATAGGTGTTGAACTGCAGCAGACCTGGGAGTGGTCAGGGAGGAGAAGCCATATCTTAGGGAGGGGAGAGGGAAATCAAGCTATATCCCACTTAAAACTGACCGCACCAGCCTCTGAGCCAGTGAAGTTCTGTGTGACTGGCGGCTCCACACCAAGCATGGTGTTATCTAGATTGATTTTGGTTTTGTGAGGCTGCATTTGGCTTGGTGGCATGGATCAGCCTGCTGAAGATGGCAAAAAATATCTGTCACATGGCATCCAAGTGGCAGTGAAGACTTGCTCTGGTTCTGAGAAAGCCAGTGGAAAACTAGCTTTGAATTGTTTCTCTCATGACTGTATTAGTGCCCACTGCCTCACTGGAGAAATAAATTGCCAGAGGAGTAACCTGAAACCATGTGAAACATGCAAAATACCAACTAATACATGGATTTTTGTGTATGTGTATTTCTAGATTTCCAGTGGGTCCAAGGAGATGTATGTGAAGTTCAGCTGATGGTTTATAACCCCATGCCATTTGAACTCCGAGTTGAGAACATGGTATGTATCACCAATCATTTGACCCTTTGGGGCTGAATACCAACTTGCCGTTAAAATATGTTTTCTGCTTAATGTGTGAAGCGCACATCCTGTGATATGTCTGCTTCGTATTTGTTTTGTCGAGGATGATAAGCTTTTTGTGAGTGAAGACCACACCTTATCATTCCCATGGCTCCAGTGCCTGGGACTCAATCCACGTTTGAATCAGTGGACAAAGACCCCTTTAATTTGGACACACCCCTCGCCTAGAGGATTGGATTTAAGATTTGAAGTAGTCATGTTGACGTTTCCATGCGATTATCACAGGTTACATTATTGCTCTTAGATGATGGAATGAACAAGGCCTAAGGGAGGAGAGAGCTCTGGAGTCAGAGGATAAATTTCTGCATCACTATCCTGGGCTTTCCCTCGGCCTCGAGACCTGGTGTTCTGATTCTGTGTCTGCAGGGCGTTAAAGGCTCACTTTGTAGCGGTGCCTGTCGGAAGTACTCACCTGACTCCATTGTGGGAGGGAGGTTTGTCCTGGCTGTCCAAGCTAATTCCAACGATCCCAGGGCAAAGCCACCTGCCCACCATGTGGGTTCCACTGCTTGAGTCCTTTCTGTGCCTATTAACATAGAGTCCTGCTTTGTGACTTCCAGTGACCTGCAAAGGACGATATTGAGACAGTTGGAGTTTTTCTGTAGAGTTTTACGACTCATGTGCAGGGGCAGAGGCAGGTGCTTCATGCAGGTATCTTGCTGAATGCCCATGCCACGTGTCGGGCCTTGGGTGAGGCATCGAGGACCTGGTCCCTGTGGTGACTTTGGTCAGCGCTGTGATGTGGGGGTGCACAAGGTGCTGCAGTACCCATGTCAGAGTCAGGGGGAGATGATGGACAGCTCAGCTGAGAGTACCCAAAGAGTCAGAGTTCACCAGACAGGCTGGGAGTATTTTAGGGTGATGTTTAGGGCTCAGCACATGGCATAGTTTCCTAAAATTGGTTTGAGCTGACGGTGCTGAGGGTGTTCAGAGGGTGGGCCTTTGAGGGTGAGTGCCGCCTCTTCCCGAGGTACAGGAACCTGCTGGCCTTATGGTTGGCTCTTGGCCAGGCCTTTCCAGTGACTTTCTGCCTCTTGGCCCAAATAGGGAATGACAGTTGTTTAGAGAATCTTCCCCAAAGTGGTTAAAGTATCATTTGCCTCCTGGTTTTTCTTATACAGTTTTTGTCTTTAAAAAAGTAGCTTTCATTTTCATTGGGTTTAAAAAAGTAATCTGTGCTTTTTGTAAAAAATTAGGAAGAACAAAGAATAAATAAAAACTACCACTAGGAGATAGCCCCCAAATCATGGTAAGGTTTTAAACAATTACGTTATGAAATATCTCAAACATATGACATATTATGGGGAATACTAAGCACTTATACCCACCATTCACATTTAGAAAATGTTGACAGTTGGCCATATTGGTGTTAGCTATTTTAAAAAGAAATAAAATGCCACTATATTTTGCCTAGATACAATAGCCATGTAATTGGTTTCTGTTCCTAGTCCTCCCCACAACATCTGCTCTATACGTGATTGGATCATTTCACACTTCTGCTCAAAACCTGGGCACAGGTGTGCTCACTGCCACTAGAGAGTCTCTTTTGGGTGCTTTCTGTAGACAGAGGTAGGAAAATTGTGCATGCATGTTCACACAGACACACACATCCACATGTACCTACAGGCATGCCCCCATGCCCACATGTACCTACATGTATGTGCACACAGATATGTATGTCCGTATGTACCTACATGCATGCCTCTGTATACATGTATATAGACTACTATCAGTATACACAGCACAAACACAAACTTCATAAATCTTGGCTTCACAGTGGTACCTCCAGTTCTAATCTCTCTCCGTAAGTCCTTTCTCACCTTCCTGCATTCCATATCTGTGTCCTTTCTTCCTACATGAGATATTGGGCTGACAACATCAATACGTTCTTGCTAGATGATTATAAAAATGCCACTTATTTATTTATTTATATTATTATTTTTTAAAATTTTATTTTTGTTTAAAATATTACAGATGTCCCTTTTTCTCCCCAGTGACCCTTCTACGCCATCCCATCTGCCTCCCCAGTCCTTCTCCCCACCATTGTCCGTGTCCTTGGGTTGTGCATATATGCATATAAATTCTTTGGTTACTCTCTCCCCCTCCACCCACCCGCCCTCCTCCATCCCTCTGACATTCATCAGTCTGATCTCTGCTTCCATGTCATTGAATCTATTCTGTTCATCAGTTTATTAAGCTCTTTAGATTCTACGTATAAGCGAGATCATGTGATGTTTATCTCTCTCTGCCTGGCTTATTTCACTTAGCATAATATTCTCCAGGTCCATCCATACTGTCCCAAAGGGTACGAGAT